ACAGAAAACCAAACACCGCATGTTCTCACTCATAGGTGGGAATTGAACAATGAGATCACTTGGACACAGGAAGGGGAACATCACACAGCGGGGCCTATTGTGGGGAGCGGGGAGGGAGGAGGGATAGCATTAGGAGATACACCTAACGTAAATGACGAGTTAATGCGTGCAGCACACCAACATAGCACATGTATACATATGTAACAAACCTGCACGTTGTGCACATGTACCCCAGAACTTAAAAAGTATAATAATAATTTAAATAAATAAATAAATAATAAAAATAAAACTCACATTTATGGATTTTAATTGTTATCCCTGCATTATGGATCTTTTTTAAAACACCAAGAGAATTTCATTTTGATGAAGTCACTCACATTCAACAAGAAGTTTTATCCAATTTAATACTTTAATTTACATTTTCATGTATATTTGGAGTACCACTACATGACAGCATTGAGCTAAATACTTTATACACATAAATTCATTTAAGAATACAGGGTTTAGCTGGATGCAGCAGCTCACACCTCTAGGACCAGCTACTCAGGAGGCTGAGACAGCAAGGATCACCTGAGCCCAGCAGTTTCAGACTACAGTGAGTTATGATCACACCAGCGTACTTCAGCTTCAACAACAGAGACAGACTCTCTCTAGAACAATTAAAATTTAAAAAAAATTTTTTTAAAGAATGCTGTATTTATTTTGTGTGTAAATTTGCCTGTGTATACTGCCTGAGGAGAAGGTAAACAATATTTTTACGAAGCAACCCACATCATATCCCTGATGGCTTTTGTATGAGCAACATCCAGCCATTGTAGTACACCGTATACATATAGCTTAAATTTAGTTCATGAAAACTGCCTGATCCAACATGAAAAAGTTTCAGGAAAAAGAAAAGCTGGGTGTGTGCACACATGCACATGTTTCCTAGACAAGAGCTTCGAACCTAGGCAGTCCAGTTCCAGAACCTTTGCTCTTAACCACTAAGCAATATGTTGGAAAAAGAAGAAAGATGAGATATAAAAATAACTGATTTACATAAAAACAGTACCTGCTAGAATAAGGGATCACATTTCTGAAGTCAGTACATTAAGAAATATAAGCATTAAATTATCTTTAAAAATGGAAAACAATCTACAAAACTTTTTTCTCTTGTGAATGAATATACATATCGGAAAGTTTCTAGCTTTTATGTTTTGAATATTATATCAACCAGTATTTCTTACATTGCTTTAAAGAGATCACATTTACCTTACAGTATTTCTGGCAGGATTAAATAAGGTCTTCGATTATGACTTTAAACAATAATCTTAGACCTTATTTAATTTAATCTAAATTAAATATCTAGATTATGATCTAAGGTCATAATCGAAGATCTTATTTAATCCTTTAATCCTCTCTTTCTATAAAGAGAGAGACATGTTAAAGAATTGGCTTAGAAGATTGTGGAGTACTGGTAAATCCAAAATCGGTAGGGTTGTGTGTGTGTGTGTGTGTGTGTGTGTGTGTGTATACATGCATATATATATACACGTGTATGTGTATGGGTATATATACACACACACACACACACACACACGATTTATCCTTGAACAACACAGGTTTGAACTGCAAAAGTCAACTTATTTGTGGATTTTCTTCAGCCTCTACCACCCTTGCAACAGCAAGACCAACCCCTTCTCCTCTTCCTCAGTCTACTTAACAAGACAAGGATGAAGACTATTATGATGAGTTACTTCCACTTAATAAATAGTAAATATATTTTATCTTCCTTATGATTCTCTTAATATTTTATTTTCTCTAGCTTACTTTATTATAAGAATACAGTATATAATATACATAACATATGAAATATGTGTTTATGGCAGGGTATATTGGTTCACACCTGTAATCTCAGCACTTTGGGAGGCCAAGGCGGGTGGATCACCTGAGGTCAGGAGTTTGAGACCAGCCTGACCAATATGGAGAAACCCCATCTCTACTAAAAATACAAAATTAGCCGGGCGTGGTGGTACATGCCTGTAATCCCGGCTACTAGGGAGGCTGAGGCAGGAGAATCAACTGAACCCGGAAAGCAGAGGTTGCAGTGAGGTGAGATTATGCCATTGCACCCCCGCCTGGGCAACAAGAGCGAAACTCCATCTCAAAAAAAAAAAAAGAAAAGAAAAGAAAAAGAAAAAAAGAAATATGTGTTTATGTTTCCAGTAAGGTTTCTGGTCAACAGCAGATTATGAGCAATTTTTTGGAGAGTCAAAAGTTACACATGGATTTTCAACTCTGTAGGGGTCAACACCCCAAATTCCCACATTGTTCAAGGTTCAACTGTCTGTTGGTTTTGTTTCTCTGGGGAACTCTAATACTTCAGGGTAGTTGAAAACCAAGGCTTAGAAAACAGGGAACAGGAATTCAGATTCATATCTTTGTGTCCAGCCATTCCTGAAAGGATTATGAAATAAAATTCTCAAGAAGCTCTGCTGGATTCAGTTTTCATACCCTAGCTATTCAGCCAGTGTAACGTTTTTTTTCTTTTAAGACTGTCATTTGACAAAACTAATCAATTCTGAGAAACAGTTTTTCACAGCCTCAAAAAGTTAAGCCTAGAGGAATTCCACTCCTAGATATATATAACCAAGAGAACTGAAAACATATGTCCATACCAAAACTTGTACAAGGCCGGCCATGGTGGCTCACGCCTGTAATCACAACACTTTGGGAGGCCAAGGCGGGAGGATCACCTGAGGTCAGGAGTTCATGACCAGCCTGGCCAACATGGTGAAACCCCATCTCTACTAAAAATACAAAAATTAGCCAGCCACGGTAGTGTGCACCTATAGTCTCAGCTACTTGGAAGGCTCAGGCAAGAGAATCGCTTGCACCCAGGAGGCAGAGGTTGCAGTGAACCAACATCATGCCACTGCACTCTAGCTTGAGTGACAGAGCAAGACTCCGTTTCAAAAAAAAAAGAAAATGTGTACACGAATGTTCATAGTAGCATTATTCACAACAGCCACAAAGCAGAAACAATATAAATGCTCATCATTTGGTTAATGGATAAACAAAATGTGGCAAATCAATACAATGCAATGATTCAGCAATAAAAAGGAACGAGGTACAGATACATGCAACACCATGGAAGAACCTTGAAAACATGCTGAGTAAAAAGAACACAGATAAAAAGTGCCACATATCTATGAATCCATTTAAATGAAATGTCTGGAATAAGCAAATTCATAGAGATAAAAAATAGCTTAGTGGTTGTCAGGGGCTAGGGGAAGGATGTCAATGGGGAGTGAATACTAATGGGTATGGAGTTTCCTACTGTGGTGATAAACACATTCCTCAATTAAACAGTGGTCATAAGCTTATGAATACAAATTCTCCTCAACTTACATGGGGGTTATGTCCTGACAAACCCTTCATTACTTGAAAACACCATGCGGTAAAAATGCATTTAAGTACTTAACCTACTGAACATCATAGCTTAGCCTAACCTATCTTAAACACGCTGAGAACACTTATATTACCCTACAGTTAGGCAAAATCAACTAACACAAAGCCTATTTTATAATAAAGTTATTGACTACCTCATGTAATTTATATGAATATTGTGCTGAAACTTTAAAAAAGCATGGTTGTATGGTACTCAAAAGTACAATTTCTACTGAACGTGTATGACTTCTGCACCAACCATCAAAAGTTGGGGTTCATCTGTATACTAAAGGGCACTGAACTGTATACCTTAAAATTATGAATATTACAATAAGCGAATTTTATCTCAACAAAAAATGTGTTAAGAAATAAAAATTCAACTCACCTGTCCTTTTTGTGGTGACAAACAATGCACAACTTCATCCACCATTACTGGAATATGTAATTTAGCCATAGTTTCAAAATCTCTATCTTGAGATCTGTGTAACTCCTGGGCTTGAGTTTGATCTGTTTGCTCCTGGGCTTCATATTCTCCATATTTTTCTGCTGTAGTATGTATTCTCTTTGGCCAGACACCTAAATTAGGTATGCCAGATGCCAACCAACATGAAAGACATTCTTTATACATTCTACAAAAATACGGATACCGAAGCATTCTGTAGGTAAACAAATCTAGAAAAAAAAATTAAAACATGATCGTTGGATTTTTTTAAAAGAATGTTCTAATACTTGGCGAAAATCAAGTTAATATGCAATATTTAGTACATCAAAAAAAACTTAAGACTCATGATCCGAACATCTTAAACAAGTAAAAGTAACAAACCCTTCTTACATATGCAAAGCAAGGAACCTAAGAGGACCCAGAGACATAATTTAAATATAATTTTTAATGTAGCCTAATACGTTCTAATATCATTAACATTTCAACCATTAGGGATATGAAAATTGATTGTTAGGTCAACATTTTTATGAAATATACTTTTTTGAATTTTAATTAAGGCTAAAAAGTAGATTCAATGAATTAAAACTGTCTATTTGAAAAGTAATCAGGATGACTGAACAGATTATAAGTATCATATTTTAGGTTCAGATGGTCTTCTATTTCACGCTCTTCTACTTGTTTTTCTCACAATGCTAAATTCTCATCTTCAGAGACTATCCCTGAGAAAAGACTATGCATGCACATCCAAAAAAAAAAAGATAATCAGTCTGTCAGTCTGATTCTCTGATGAGATCATCTCCCTGTACCCTGTATCAGTGGAGTGTACATCAGTTTAAACTGCAACTGTATAAACACTCAACTGAGCACACTTTGGTATTTCATGTCTACCTTTAATTATCTGTCCTCTGCACCCAAAAAATAAATAATTGATATATTCCTTGGATTTACCATATGTGCTCCATTTTCTTAAGCAATCCATAACTCTTTAAAATGCAGAAGAAAAAAAGGATTTGTATAAATATATTACTAACACACCTTTTGAAAAAACATCATGCATTTTATACCCAGTTGGTTTCAAGCAAAGTTTTTGATACTACCACAGTAAACACCATTTGATACTACCCAGTTAACACTATTCTTTCCTCACAGGTTATTAGTTATTTAAGAATATGACCCACACCTTTTATACACAAAATAAGATGCATATCAGTGCTTAATGACTGTTTTCTGAAGAAAATGAATGAATGGATTAATTCCAGACTCCACAGAATTAGTATTGTTATCAATCCTCACTTTGGGAAATTTCACCTGTATGACTGACCCCACCAAAACCCACATGTTCTCAAAATACTACAAGAAGCATAAATCCCATTTAAATATGTCTGTCTTTTCTTTTGCAATTAAAAAAAATTAAAAACGTTGAAAAGCTGATCACATGTAATAAAACACAAAGAAATACAAATATGATATAACATCAATAAGATGTTACCTTGAGAATATGTTAACTTTACCAAAGCTATAATGTGCAGAATTGTGTGGCAAATGTGACACCGAAAAAATGTGGGGGGAAAAAAAATGAGTGATCTAAGTAGATTTTTGGTTGCTTGGCAGCAACAAAATAGCCAAATTATTAATTATGCCTAAGGTTTCCGGAAAGCTTACAAAAGTAAGCTCAACTAGCCTCTGACTTACTGTTTCTAACAGTTTACAAAATAATAGCTAACATTTATTTAGCACTTACTATTATAACCACATTACGTGCACTACCTCATTCAATCCTTTCACAACTCTTGAAATATTATTATTCCCATTTTATAGATAGGGAAAACAGAGAAGTAATTTGCCAAAGGCTACATAGCTAGAGAGCCATAAAGCTAAAATTGTAACACAGTCTATCCCCAGAGCCTGAACTCAATTTCCATGCTATAAACATAGCCCACTGGAACTATTTAATCCACTTATGTAATTTAATAGTACTTCAATTAAATTGACTATATATTTGTAATATCTCATAAATTAGATTCATTTTATTAAGGAACCGACATCCTATGGCTTGGCTCTGCTCCACTTAAAAATAACAGTATGCTGCAGGGTTCCCAGTAACGAACGTACAATGTATAGGCCTAAAAAGTGAAATCTGGAACAACCATATCCTATATGTCTAGATTTTGATAACTAAAAGAAGTGTCATCAATTCTAACATAAGAGTAAGAACCATACCGGAAAAAGCAGAGTAGCGGGGGAAAAAAAACAAACAAACAAACAAAAAACGCTATCACTTGCATTTAATTCTTTTTCTACTGCATTCAGCTTCTATGTGTTTATTCAGCTATGGTCAAGGCACAAAGCCTGAATATTTTATTATGAACTAATTACCTGCCAACTTGGGTCAACCTGGAGAAAGGGTGACAAATAGTTCATTTTCCTCTTGTTTCCTGCAATACCTCCCTAAAAAATGGAAGGTGGGGGAGTGGTATGTTCTAAAGAAAATTATATTCTTCTCTTTTGTAGCCCAGTTTCCTACCAGACAACTTAGAGCTCTCCTGCAGTCTGCTAGGAGCCAGCCACCCTAAATGATTGAAGATTAAGTTCCCTCTGGTCATAAGGAGGGAAGCAGGGAGTCAGGAAAGCTGCCTGTATGATCTCCTAGTTAAGTAATTTAACTTTTCTCTACAAGCAAAGTTCACTTTTGGCTGTTAAGAGCACAAAATTGGCCAGATTACTCTTTTAATTGTGAAAACACACAGGTGAGTGATGCCCATGAAGGATACTCCCTCAAGGGCTCTAACAATTATAATCATTGCAGTCAATTTTCTCCTGCAAGGAAAGCCTGTTTGAAAACGTAATTTTTAAGGACAAAAACGCGACGTGGCGGCTGGCACACAATCACTGAGAAAGTGAAAGAGGTTCTAAGGGAAGAGAAAAATACACGCTTCTGCCTGAGAATTACACTGTGACGACGAAAAACTATTCGGAAACTTCCAAACCCAGGTTGAAGGCGTGCTGAAGAGAGGGAAAGGGGACAGGGGCGTATATATCCTTTGCTCCGGGCGAATCCAGCGACCCCTGTGGAGTACCCCCAAAGGTTTGGTGGTTTCCAAAAAGAGTTCCCGGGACTTGGTCACCTTCTCCTCACCTGAGGCAGGAAGACTTCTCAGCTGGCCTCTAACTTGGGCCAGTGACTACCACTACGGTACTGAAGAACCTGAATGTGCCGCACGTCTAGGTCCTGCCCCTGGGGGAAACTTGCAAGGACGGACAGATTGGGTCCACGTCCGCCCCAGCAACTCAGGACCGTCTGCCTTTGGTTCCGCTGCTTCCAGCCTCAGCTGCCAAAGGGTCCTGTTGGCGCTGGGGTTTCCAAACGACTTTCCTGGGGGAAATAAATAAGACCTCACTATTGCCATGTTTCAATTCACTTTTACTTTTTCCATTTTTATTTTTTGGTCTGAAACAACTTTAAATCTAACTTTTAATTTATCCTTATCTCTACTCTTCGGTTTACAATGAAAATATATTAAACTTGTGTTCTGATAACACAGCAGTTATACTACAATTTTTAACTAAGAGTGGGAATTTCTGTCTCATTAGCTCTGTATGTTTAGAAATTACAAGAAGCAAGGTGGCATAGTAGTGGGATTGATTGTAATGTCAAAATCTGTCTGCTCTAACCAAATGTACAATTCCTTTAAAATACGGACCTCATCATCTGAACACTGCTAAATGGCAAGTGTAACACTAAATTTGAAATCTAAAGTACTTGGATTAGGTGTGAAAACATATGTGGCACTGATAAACCTTATACAATGTGGATGTCAAAAAATACAAAATTTAAAACACTTCTATTCTTCACCAATGATCCATGCAATTTTACAAGCAACTGGTAAAATATGCATATTTTCAGACTGGATTAAGATAGTCTCTTAATGTCACTTAATCTAGACAGTATCTCAGAGACAAATGACTCAATTCTGAATTGCCTTGCCTGTATAGTTCAAGACAAAATTTTGCGTTAGGGATTTTCTGAAAACTTCAGTTTTCTCTCAGAAAAATTAAAATAACAGTACCTACATCTCATAGGCTGTTTTGAGAATTAAATGAGAGACCATATGTAAAGGGACAAATAAAATACCTGGGAAGTCAAAACGTAAAGTACTACACAGTGAGTTCTTACTGGAAATAAAGACATCTCGATTTTATTACCAAGCCCAGCAGCACACAAATAACCATTTCATTAGCTAAGATACACATAATACAGCCAAAAATAAGTAGTAGCTTTATTGATCCTGTCTAGTGATCAGAAAGAATAATATAACATGCATCATATACAATACACAATCCTCTCGATTTTCCTCAACAGGAAATAAATGTCCATAATACAGAGGTTTCCATACATTGTTGCATTTATAATGCTCTGCATGGATAAGAGTCATCCTATTTATAAAGTGATATTGTATCAACAGAATATAAGCTCCAAGATGGAAGAAAGTTTGATTCTATTGTATACTATTGTGTGTCTAAAATCTAAATAATTGCTAAATGAATAGATACAATAACAGTAATATATAGAACCATGAAATTCAGATACTGTTATTAAAAATAACCTGCCAAAGTTATTTTAGCAAACATATTTCCCATTTGTTCCAGGTATTTTCTCTCTTTTTAAAGTATATATTCTTAAATAATATCCGTAACCTGGGACTTAAAAAAAATCACTTCACCTAATAACAAACCAAGCCAAAATCTTTAAATAAATTTATTGTTATGCCATCATTAGACTGAGAATGTAAAAAGCAACCAAACAGAAAATAGTTTCACAGTCAGTACTAATGGGAGTAGGCCTGGAAGTCCTGAGAAATGAAGCCTGAGGCCTCAACCCAAAAGATCTCCAATTAATTCAGGTGAAGAGACCCCACATTTTGGCCCATATGAATGTGTCTGGAAGGAACAGGTCCCTACAACTTCCTGGAGGCCTCACTACTCAGAGAAAAGAAAATAAACACCCAGAACCCATTAATCCACACCCAAACTCCACCTCTCCCCCTAGCAGAGGGAATAGGCCAACCCCTGCCCGCACCAGTCTCACTCACACCCTCAACTCTGGGACCGGGCCCTGCACCCGCCGGTCCAGAGAAGGCCTGGTGATCTCAAGTAACTGCCTCCCACAGGCAGCTCCGGTCTAGCCCCGCCCACTTTGGCCACCGCCTCCGGAAACGGCCTCGAGCGTTGCCACGGTGACGAAAAAGCGAAGAGCTTCCCCCGCGCCGCCAGGCTGAGCTTCTTGGCGCCAAGCTGCCGCGAGCCGTGACAGCGTCCGACGTGATGACATCACGCGGGCGGCAGCCAATGAAACGAGGCGCTGAGGAAGGTGGCTTGGGTTTGAATATTGTGGTTGAGTCTGAAGCGCCGGGAGGCGGACATTAAAGTGAAGTGGTTGCGGTATGCTGGCCTGGGCCTGAAGTGAGTGAGCGGCACATGAAGGTAAAACTGGACTCTGGGACACTGCTTTTGGTGACCTGTATTATTGGGAACGGAGGATCCTGCCGCTTCAGGTCTAGAAGACTATGTGGGCTTCTTGACAAACACAGAAGCGTTGAGGGGTGGGTGGGGGATCAGGGTCCCTGGGGAGAAAGTGAAAGGAAAAAGGGATTCAGAACCTGCTAAAAGCACAGCACTGCTTGACCGTAATCCTCCACTGCTCAGCTGGAAGGGCAGGGATCTCCTTCCTTAAGTTCTGAGAGGAAGGTCTTAACTTTTAAAGGGCATCTTGGCCCCTTTCCCAGACTTTGGCAGAGAACTTTAACTGTCCAGCACGTTGCAGTGTCAGCTTTTTTCCGGACTCCAAAATCGGGCTGTTTCCTTTCAGATGCGCATATAAGCGTACCCCTGGGTTACCTGTCAAACGAGGAGTTTTTGTTCATCACTGCATAAAAGTTTTGTCTGACGAGCTTTAACTGTTAGTCTTGCACTGGTCAATCGGGAACCCCTCCCGAGCCCCAGTTGTAGGTAGTATCAAGATAAAACTCGCTCTGCCTAACGGGATTGCCGAGGATCAGATGAGGTACGGAAGAGATAGTGTTTGGCAAATGTTCTGTAAATGAAATTAAACTGTAAACACAGAATCCGTCCTATAGTCTGTTCTTGGTTTCCGCGGGACTTTTTTTTTTTTTTTTTTTAGGAGCTCATTAGTCTCTCAGTTACAGAGAAGCCAAGACTGACTACTGTTTATTATATGAGAAGAGAGTATTTGACCAGAACGGACTGATTGTGTGGTATAATATATAGTTTAGATTATGGAATAATTAGGTAGAAATTTAGGCACGCTACAGATTTTAATTGTTAGTGTCATTCCACCACATCTAACCTCCTATTTCGTTTTTGGAAGGTTTTTATAAACTTTGGTGCTAGAGACTGTGATATCCAATGACTAGATAGTGCTTCTTATTAAGTTCGTATTATTTTGTAAGAACTATTTCAATAAATAAAGATTATCTACAAAGCACAATCACAAAGAAAAAAATTTTTAAAGATTATCTGCCTTTAATGGTAGTAATTAATCTCTCTTCTATTATTTACTCATTTATTTGAGACGAAGTCTCTCTCTGTGACCCAGGCTGGAGTGCAATGGCGTGATCGCCGCTCACTGCAACCTCCACCTCCCGGGTTCAAGCAATTCTCGTGCCTCAGCCTCCCGAGTGGCTGGGATTACAGGCATTTGCCACCACACTTGGCTAATTTTTGTATCTTTGGTAGAGACGGGGATTCACTATGTTGGCCAGGCTGATCTCGGACTCCTGACTTCAAGCCATCTGCCCGCCTCGGCCTCCCTAAGTGCAGGAATTACAGGTGTGAGGCAGGGCACCCAGCCCTTCCTCTTCTGTTGTTGAAAAGTATTTACAAATACATAATATTTTTATATTAAAAGTGCATCTTGTCACATCATAGAAATACTCCAATTAAGGGACACAATAAAAATGACTTTTTTATTTTATTTTTTTTTTTTTTTTACTGACAACTGTGAAAACTAAGACGAAAAAAAAATAGCTCAGCTGTCAGTGCCGGCCTTGCCTCCAGTTGAACTTTTTATTCTTCCCTGATGGTTGTAAGTTAGTGGTAGTAGTGCCCCCAAGACTGATATTCCAAAGATAGCTTTAAGATGGATGAAGACTGTAGATGATAATGTTGAGTATCGTTTTCAGTCCTATACAGTGTTTGTTGAATCTGAATCTAATTCAGGTTTGAGTTTGTATTTAATATATCGTAACTGTCACTCTACTTCTGTATCACTGTTTGGAAGCATTCTCTTCTGGTTCCAGTAGAACCTAGTTGTTAAGAACATGGACTTTGGATTTGTACCTGGTGAGGAGTTTGTGTTTTATTCTTATGGTGAGAAGTCATTGGAGACTTTAGAACAGGTGAATGCCATATGATGCATCCATCACATGATCTGAATGCTTTTGATGAAAGTATCAGTGAATACAATCAATGAATTAAATTTATTATAATACTTTCATAAAATTAGGGGTGAATCTTTGACCTAATTGACTTATATTTGACATTTGGTTCCCCACTTGTTATGTCATCTTGGAAAAGTTACTTATCCTAAGGCTAAGTCTTTGTTTTTGTAAAATGGAAATGATACAACCTTACGTGATTATTACAAGGATTGAATGCAATGACAAATGTCAAGTGTTTAGTTTAATGCCTGACACAGAGTGTATGTACTCAAATGATAAGCATTGTTGTTCATTATTAATAATTATCACCGTATCAACCTAATCTAAGCATTGTTATATAAAAGCATACTTATTGAGAATGGCCACTGTGTGATACCTGACAAGTACAGAGAAATCATAATCAGTTTTATTTTAACATTCAAGAGCTCCTATGTCAGGCCCTGAGGTTTCTATCAAAAGTAAGCGAAGATAAGAGAGTAGTACCAGAAGCTGAGTTTTGGGGGAAATAGGGAGATTTTGGTCAAAGAGTACACTTTAAGTTATAAGATAAATAAGTTCATGGCATTTAATGTATAGTATGAATGGTGATAGATGTATTAATTTAATTGAGGTAATCATTACATAATGTGTAAGCATATGAGATCATCACATTGTACTGTACATCTTGATTATATACAATCTTTGCCAATTAAATGTTTTAAAATTTCTAAAAAAAATAAGCAATATATATTTTTAACTTCCATAAGAAAATTTCTGAGTGTTATATATTTACATGAGGGAGAGTAGTGATTAAGTACTTGGCCTTTAGATTCAGTCAGTCTGAGTTCAAATCCCATGTCATGTGCTTCCTTAGTTGTGTGACTTTAGCCAGTTAATTTCTCTGTACTACACTTTCTCCCTTAATAAAATAGGAATGACAGTACAGTGTTTATGTCATAGGGTTGTTATGAGGATTTAATAAGAGTATGTCAATTGTTTAGTACATTTCTATTTGTGGGATATGAGCTCAATAGAAAATATAACTTATTGTTACTAAATGAAATGTTGTGATTAAGGTAAATTTTAATAGTGGTTTTGTTGTTGTTGTTTGTCTGTTTTGAGTATGAAATGGAAAATAAAACTGTCTCTCACTCAGACCTTCATATTTCCCCTCCACGGGGAAAGGGGTATTACCAATTTCTTGTGTACCTTTCTGGGAATGACCATGCATATACATATATATCTTTTAAAAATACAAATGGTAACATGCTATAAGTCTATTAAATCTGTATTGGTTTATTCATTCATTTATTCAACAAGTATATATTGGATCCTAAATATTTGACAAGCAGTGTCCTAGGTGCTAGTGTACAGATGAACTCTGTGCTCTCAAGTGCTTACATTCTAGAGGGGAAACAAGCAATAAATATGTAACCCGATAATATATACTTTCCAATTACTGCTAAATTCGAGGAAGAAAAATAAACCTGGTAAGGGATTGGAGAGGCAAAGGCAGAGTGACACTTTTGGATAGATTCTTTAGGGAAAGCCTCTATAAAGTGGCATTTGAACAGAGACCTGAAAAATGAAGTGAGAGATTACAATTTGCAAATATCTGGAGGTAATGCCTACCAGTAAGCAAAAATGCAAAAGCCAGGAGGCCAAAACAAGACTGAAGTGTTTTAGGAATCCTAAGAAAGTCATTGCAGCTGAAGCAGAATAATGAAGTGGAGAGACAACAGTAGAAGTCATTGTCAGAGACGTAGACAGGGCCATATGTGGAATTTATAGGCCATGGTAAGGAGTTTGTGTTTTATTCTTATTGTGAGAAGTCACTGGATAGTTTAGAGCAGGTAAATGACATGCAATACATATCATGATCTGAAAGCTTTTGAAGAAAGTATCAGTGCATACAATCAATGAATTAAATAAAATTTATTATTGTACTTGCATATAATTAGGGGTAAATCTTTAATCTGAGATGAGCACTAGCTACATATAAGTTAAAAATTGACCTGTTTAACTTGGCTTATTACCATGCAAGTATTCAGAATAAATAGATTTTAATACCTCATTAAACATTACAGAGGCATGAGCTGTTCTACGTAAATGAATCTTCCAGAAAATTGAATATTAGCTTTGCTAAGTAATAAAGTATTTTAACCACACTCAATGATGAAAATAAAACATGATCTTCCAATTTCTTTAATTTTCTAAACAAGAAATTGGGAACATTATTTCTTTCCTATTTTTTTCTTTTTGCTGCCTCAGGATTCTCATTGTGATTGCCTGTTGTTGTCAACTACTGTACTCTAATATGTTGTTTCTCTTGGAGATATACGTTTTCTGTTTCCCTCTACTCTAAATGAGTAAATTGCTTTTTGGGGTCTGTGAGCACTTTTTATAGTTTATTAATTCATTAATTGGTATATTTGAAAATTTACTATATACTAGACTCTCTACGAGAGAATAGGGATATAAAGTAAAAGTCTATTAACTGTCACGTCTTATCATTCTCTTGTACCCTTTTCTAATCATGCATAATAATCATAAAATTTTGGAGCTAGAAAAAGACCTTCCATATCATATAATCTAACACTTTTGTTTTATACATTGGCAAGTGAATCCCCTTCCTTAGCCCCTTCATTCTTCTTTTTTGATACGCTACTCTCTCTAGACTAGACAAATATTCTTCTTCAGGTTTAGTATCTATTATATAAAATGTTTGGTACCAGAAGATTTTTTGAATTTTGGAATTTTTTTTTTTTTATATTTTTGCATTGTGCTTACTGGTTGAGGATCTCTAATCTGAAAATCCAAAATACTCTAGTGAGCATTTCCTTTGAGTGTCATGTTGGTACTCACAAAGTTTTAGATTTTGGATTTTCAGATTTGGAATGCTCAACCTGATTATAATGAACGATGATGTTGGAAGTATTTGTCTTTCATGTTTTAGTTCCACCAATGAAATCCTACCAGTTTGCTCTTTTGTTTCTGTTCAACAAATACCACTTAGGAGTAGATGTGGCAAAATTGATCAGAGGC